TTTGTTTGAATTCAAAACCCAACAGGTATGATACCTGTTCAATTCAAAACCAAGAGCTACATACCTGTTTATTTCAAATCCAAGAGCCACCTTCACATCTATAAATAGGACCACCCTCATTTGATGTTTTTATTCAGAAATTTCGTATTTCACTTCTGTTTTCTATTCTTCATCTTGCTGCATTTTATTTCCAAAAAAAAGAGTGTAAACACTTAGTGTGTTCGTAAGGCAAACAATTTGTAGTGCTGCTATTGTTTGTGGTAAGATCATTTCATCCTGGGAGATAGACGTCCAAATTCTGAAAGCACTGTGGAGAGGACGAATCTGTCTTAAGGACACAGTGTTAAACACTGGACTTGATCAGAAAAGTTATTCAAATAAATTAACCAAGTAAGTTGTTTACTTTTATTCTGTTTTTTATTTGTTTATTTAATCAGATTTTATTTTTATTTTTGTAACAAAATAAAATCTGTGGTTTTATTTATTTATTTTTATTTCAAGTTTGATTTTTGTAATCAAACAAATTCTCTCATTTTCTTTATTTCTTTAAATTCTAATTGTTGTTGTGTACACAATAGAATTAAATATTTTAAATACAGTGAAGATTGTCCAACATTTTCACCACCGGATGACCCCCTAGATGTCCTTCCGGATGACCACCTAAAGCAAAATTTTGTGAAGATTTTACACTAGAAGGTCGACCTCCTCGATAACCCCTCAAGCTTGAAAATGTGAGAAAAAAGTAGTAAGAGTGGATTGTTTTTCTGATGCATTCAACTACAAATATGAAAATAATCAACCTTTTTTGTTTATTCAATATGGATTTGAATTGAAGGTTTGAATCATTGGTTTCTTTTTCTTGATTGTTTTAAATAAATGTTTTATGGGTTTTGGTTTTGATAGTTGTTGATAATGAGAGAAAAGCAGAGTAGTGATGATTTTGGAGAAAGTTCAGAACTTGAAAGAAAGCGAGTGAAAATGCGAGATCTTGACTCAGTGTTACGCTCCGAAGGCAAGTCCTCTTTGTAAAGGAATTATTATTACTTTGGGGTTTTACATTTCCCTGAGGAGCCCCTTTCTCTCTCTCTCTCTCTACCATGGCATCCATCGAGTGCTTCATCGACAAGAACGCTTTTTTCAGAAAGCTCAAAGCCAAGTCCGACGACAAGATCTCTCTCTCTCTCTCTCTGTGTCTCTGGGCTTTCATTATTTTTTAGGTGAATTTGGTTGTAACTGCGAGATCTGATTTAGATATGGCATTTCCAAGTCTAAATTGAAATTCTGAATTTGTTTTTATTTTTTGGGAGGGTTGGGTTGAATCAGATGTGTTTTGATTGCAATGCTAAGAATCCAACATGGGCTTCTGTACGGAATCTTCTTGTGCATCGATTGTTCAGCCTCTCATCACAATCTAGGTGTTCACGTCACCTTCTGAGTGTGGGAAAAACAAAATTCGTTTTCCTTTTTCCGGTCAATTGCCTGTGGTCTCTCGGACGTCCAGTATGTTTTGATGAAAACTATTAAAACAACTGATATTAGATTGAGAAATTGTTTTTTTTTTTAATTTAAATTTAATAATTTTTTTGATGAACCTGTACTCTAGCATAATATTTTTAAGGTAACAAAATTCTCAAATAGTTTACCCAACAAATGTCTTCACAATCATATTCAACTAGGGATATCTCAAGCCAGTCAAGTCGTTGAACCACGTCAAATTACGCGTGACGAACAAACCCTTAATCACGTCGTCCTAACAAAACATGAAATCACCTTAATACCCCTAATCCCAATTCTTAGTGGAATAAGCAATAGATGCTATTTTTATAAATTTATATTCAAATTATGATGCGGTGTAATTTTAAAAATTTTAAATATTTGTAATCTATATAATAGGTGGAGTTATAAATTTAAAATAATAATGTCATAACATATCTTTGTATATTAATTGGTATACTAATTGGTGTGTATAGCATTACCGTTACATAAAATATGATAATGTCTTTGTAATTTTAAAAATTATATTATATTTTTTTAAATTTATAATCGCATGATAAATATTTTTTATAATAAATTATTAAATTAATTAAAATTAAAAATATATTTCAATTAATAATTTTATTGTTGTGAATTTCATTTTTTTTGTGTGTGTTAATTCTGTAGAATAAAAAGAATAAAAAGGGCCTGACTTCCCTCCGGTCCCAAATCGGATTAGAAGGTGCTATTGGGTTTGTGAGGGCCCACCACGGATCCTTGATAATTTGAACCGTTCAATGTGTAAAACTCGTCAAGTATAATATGTTTGTAAAAAATTACATTGATCGAATATCGATAGTTATGTCATCGGATCAACTTTCTATCAATCATTTATTTTTTCACCGTCTATTTTTTATATATAAAATTGATTTGATCATGTAACTATCGATATCCGATCAACGTGATATTTATACAGGCATATAGTACTCGACGAGTTATACACATCAAATAGTTCGGATTATCGAAACGGGATTAGTGATGGGCCCCACTAGGCCCAATAGCACTTCCCAATTCAATCTGGTACTGAAGAGAAGCCAGTGCTAATAAAAATTATGACGAATTTTTTTTTATAATTTTTAGAATTACATTATCTGTATTTATAATTTACCTTAATATGATTAAGGCCAAGTTTGGCATCCTCAAAAAAATTTAAAAAGTCAAAAAGTCACTATCCTATTTAAGTTATATCATCTTATTAAAGTCACATCACCTCTCTATCACATCATTTCAAACCCAACCCATACCCAACTCATATTTCATAAAAAGTCAAAAAATACACTTATTTAGGACACCCCAAATTACACAGATAAGCACCGTTTGTTTATCTCTAAACATTTCACGTTACTATCGCCCTCATAGTTGTACACGTGTTCCCCTTCTTATAACCGTCTGATCAAATCATTCAACTCAAAGTGAATCATATCCAACGGCTAAATAAATTTGGGAATTCGAAGGGTTTTGCCTTTAAGCCTTTCATATCATCGTCTTGTGTCTCTGGCTCTCTCTCTCGCGGAGACTTTGAATTTTCTCTCTCTTTTGATATTCGAGTGGGAGAGAGAAAGAGAGAAATATATATATATATATATATATATATATAGAAACCCCCAATCTACTATCATTCGCGTTTCTAAGCTGCCCCTGAAAGATCGTTTTTTTTAGGGCTTGTCTTCACTGTAAGTCGATTCCTCGTTTTGGATATACAAGTTGAGAGAGAGAGAGAGAGAGAGAGTTGGAGATACAGAAGGAAGGAAATCGACATTTGTGGGGTATATCATGATGCCTGATGGGTATTCCAGTTCCAAGAAGACTGATGATATCCGTGAAGATGTTTGTGGCCAGGTATGTCTTTTTCCCCGATTTTTATTTGTGATTTTTGGGGTTTTTATTTATTTATTTATGTATCATAGTTGTTTTTTTTTTTTTTGAATTTTAATTTGAGTTTGTTGATGAGTTCTGGGAGATGGGTATGCTCAATTTCGTTTTTAAATGGATTAAACAGAAATGGGTTTCTTTTATTGATAAGCACAGATTTGTTATTTGAATTTGAGTTTTTTTTCTTGAGTTCTGAAACATGGGTATGCTCGATTTTGATTTTAAATGGATTACACAGAAATGGGTTTCTTTTATTGATATGCTCGGATTGGTGTTAGGTTAGTATAAATGCGGATTGATGGTTTTGGTACTTAGTTCATCTGATTTGTTGTTTTCCCTTTTAAACACTGTTTCAATTTGAATTTGTTCGAATCTATCTTCTTTATTTATTTATTTTGTGATTTATCAGATGTTTTCCCTTTTCTGAATTCTCTCTCTTGTATAAAGTTGTGGATTTTTTTGAGAGTTTCATGTAGATTAATTGTTGAAATTGTCAAAAAATTTAGACCTCAGGATCTTTACAATTTTATAATGGTAGAAAAGATTCCAACATTCATGCAACTAGTTGAGCTAGTGATTTAGGGGTTTTTTTTTAAAAAAAAATTAAGTTAAATTTTGGATTTAATTCCTCAAACAAATTGAGTGCTCTGATTGTAAGTGATGATCTGAATGGTCAGGGTTTCTCTTGCTTTAATGATGTTTAGTTTCATTTTTTATTTTGAACTAGTGATGTGTTTGATTATTGTTTTGTAACTTGTTTTACTCTATCTGGGTATCTTAGGTGCAGCAGGCAGCCTGTGCGGCACTGAGTATGACTCGACTCCGATGCATTCTGCGAGGTGTGGATTTGAAGACCTATTTATTTCTGCTTGTGATTGTGCCTATAAGCATACTTGGTATCTATTTCCAGTCTCAGAAGATTACATGCTTCCTACGCCCGCTATGGCAATCTCCTCCAAAGCCATTCGTCAATATCCCACATTATTATCATCCAAATGTTTCGATGGAGAATCTTTGCAAACTTCATGGTTGGGGAATTCGCAAATATCCCAGGCGAGTCTTTGATGCTGTTGTATTCAACAATGAAGTGGATATACTTACAATCAGATGGAAAGAGTTGGATCCTTACATCACACAGTTCATTCTTCTTGAATCGAACTCAACATTTAGTGGCTTGCCCAAGCCATACTTTTTTGCAACCAATCGTGACCAGTTCAAATTCATGGAGCCTCGGCTGACTTATGGGACAATTGGGGGGAGATTTAGAAAAGGTGAAAACCCATTTGTTGAAGAAGCTTATCAAAGAGTTGCAATAGATCAGCTCCTTAGAATAGCAGGTATACAAGATGATGATTTATTGATTATGTCTGATGTTGATGAGATCCCCAGTGGGCACACAATCAATCTCTTGAGGTGGTGTGATGACATACCTCCGATACTTCACCTCCATCTGAGAAACTACTTGTACTCATTTGAGTTTCCTTGGGATCATAGGAGTTGGAGAGCTACGGTCCATAGGTATCGTATGGGTAAGACTAGATACGCACACTTTCGTCAGACTGACTACCTCTTGTCAGATGCGGGGTGGCATTGTAGCTTTTGTTTTCGCCGTATCAGTGAATTTATATTCAAAATGAAAGCTTATAGCCATAACGATCGTGTGAGGTCCCCTCATTTCCTGAACCCTAAACGAATCCAAGATATAATTTGCAAAGGGACCGATCTCTATGATATGCTTCCCGAGGAGTACACGTTTAAGCAGATCATTGGGCAGTTGGGACCTATGACTCATTCTTATTCAGCAATACATCTTCCTGCATATTTGTTGAACAATGCTGACAAGTACAAGTATCTTATGCCTGGTAACTGCAGAAGAGAAAGTGGCTGAGTTTCTAGGGAATTCTCAAACTTTCTTTTGTGGATTTTTGAGGTGCTATTTTTTGTTGCACAGTGGAGGCTCCATTGGATTGTTGATGACACTGGTGCGGTGCTAATACTAGTATGTCTTATTTCGATCCAACAAAATCTAGGTCATTCTTTACAGAGCTTCTTCAAGGATTTGGTTGGTTTTTGGATTGATGCGGTGAAGATTGTACTTTTGTTTTTCTCTTTCTGGTCTTAGGTCTTATTCCGGATGGAGGCACATGCTCGAGAGCGTGTGGTCGACAAAAGGATTGAATGACTTTGGAGCATCTCTATGGCTTGATTTCCAGATTGTATTAGAGTAGAATGACATTTACTTTGGGATTTTCTAGCTAGGGAGTCTGTTTCTTTCTTGTTTTCTTTTGACAAACCTAATTTGTTCGTATATACAGCCAACTTATGGTGTTGTTTATTTGTACCATCTAATTGTTGCTTATCTTCTATTAATTGAGCAATGATATTCGCACTTGACTGACGTTTAGCATGTCGCACTCTTCTTGTGAGAGGTTAAGAGACAAAAAAATGAAGTGAATATCCTTGCTCTAATTATACTGATTCAGCCTTTTCTCTAGGCAGTGATTTCATAACATTGTAGTTTGTGAATACCTTCATGGTTTGTTTCTTTTTCCGTAGGTTCTAGCTATTGGCTGAGAATCTTAATTCTCAGAAATTGCATGCCAACCATTTGGTGTTAATTTTTGAAAATGAAACTGCCTCTCTCTCTCTCTGCACACGGGGTAAGCAGGGGTTAAGATTGCGTAAATCTGACTTTGTCTAGATCCCGCAAGGAGATGACTCTTGTGCACTAAGATAAGCTCTTTTATGTACTAGTAAATTTGGAAAACTGTGACTTTTTTTGTATAGCTATGCTGACAAACCCTGTTTACTCCCTTCATTTTTAGGGAATTGGGTCCTCTTTACACTCTCCCCTATCATTCTGTCCTAATCTCCTCATTACATAATTAAAGTAAGACAAATACATCCTATGATGAGGAGAACATTTAGAACAGAGAGAGATGAAGAGGATTCTCAACCTATTTTCAATAGTCACTATGTCATTTTTGCATTTTTTCTTTCCCTTTGAGCACTTGGAACGTTTTTTCTACACACTAAATGATTTATGAACACACATAAGCCATGATCTTTATTTTAATCCAATAGAAGCTGATTTTGGTTGAGGGAAAGCAAGTCATGTTTTTGATTATGGAGGGACTTGAATTTTAAGGTTGATTAGAAAAAATCAATAAACCCCACCACCCACTTAGACACCAGAGAATAAAGAATCAAAATATAGATTCCCCACTTACTCATCACTTCCTTTATTTGTCTATGGTTGCTGTGATTTTCTGTTTTGAAATGTTGTTTGTTGTTTTGTGATGCCACTGAAAATTGTGGATGTGAACCTCACACATGAGTCCACATCCAGGCCGGCTGCTTGGTTGAGAAAGCAAGTCACCTTTTTTATTGGGAGTTGATTTTTTTTTTTTAGTGATTTTTTTGGGGTCAATTTTAAGTCGTCTTCTTTTTCTTCTTTCTTCTTCCTCTTCTTCCATTTTTGTTTTTTTAAAACTTATATCCTCTCACTACAGTAGAAAAAAAGTGAATTTCTTTTTTTTCTTTTTCCATTTGACTATACACTCATCAAAATATATATATATATATATATATGCACTCCATTTTCAGTGATTGAAATTAAAAAACCAATTTGGCCCTAAGATTGTAGTTATATTTGGTTGTAATTAACATCATTTTCATCGTAACTAAAATTATCATAATGAGTCATAATAAACATTATTTTCAGATTAAATTTTTAGATTAATCAATCAGTGTGTTTGGTTTAAATTTTTTAGATTAAATTTTTTAAAAATTGAATTTGTTTATTTTTGTTTTTTTTTTGTTTTTAGTGAATATTTTTAAAATTTTAAATATTTTTTTTACTTTTTTAGATGTACCTTACTTAGATGTATCTAAAAAGTAAAAAATTTATAAAAAAATATTTTAAAAAATTAATAAATATATAAAAATACAAAAAAATGTACTGAATTTTCGTAATTTTTTTTTTTTATATATTTTTGGTATTTAGTGAATTTTTAAAAAGTTTTTTCGTGAATTTTTTACTTTTTAGATATATTTATGTTAGGTATGTCTAAAAAGTTAAAAAAATTCCTAAAAATATTTAAAAAATTCAGTAAAAAAAAAGAAAATAAAATTTTTTAAAAAGTATTTTTAAAAAACTATAACCAAGCAAAATGATAGTATTTCCACACCAAATTGCACCTCCACGAGCTAGTTACTCAACTTTTTTTAACAACTTTTCCCAAAAAAAACACCAAGTTCTCCCACCCGTCAATTTTTAGGTGGATGAGCTGGTTACTTGAATAATATTCACAAGATATTCTCCAAGAGTTCATGATTTTTCTATTATACTTTTTATTACAATAAGTTAAATTAACAAAATATATAATTTGACGATTCAAGTTAAAATTAAAATCAAATTACATTAAAACTACTCTCACTAAAACAATGTAATTTTACTTCAATTTTAAACACAAATCATTATATTACCAATTTATCACAACAAAACTATTACACAGAAGAGCATGGTTTTCCCCCAGTCCCAGATCAAATTGCAGGGTGTTGTTGGGCCTATAAGGGTTCATTACAGGTTTCGTTTTAATAATCTAAACCGTTTAATATGTAGAACTCGTCAAGTACTATATAATTATAAAAAATCACATTGATCAGATATCAATAACTATCTCATCGGATCAGTTTTCTATCAACCGTTTATTTTTTCAATGTCTTTTTTTTTTATACAAAACTGATTTGATCACGTAGCTATTAATATATGATCAAAGTGAGTTTTTACAAACATATAATAATCAATGAGTTCTACACATTGAACAGTTCTGATTATCGAAACAGGATCCGTGGTGAGCCCCTACAGGCTCAACAGCACCCTCCAGTCGGACTGGAGAGAAGCCAGTGCCTACATAGAATCTCCATTTGATTTACTTTTATAATCATGAGTGTGGAGTTGCGTTTTGAATTATAAGTTTTGAAAAGAGAAAATTTATTTAATTATGCATTTTGAAAATAGTTTTGAATTATATTTTAAAATTTTTTGAATTTATTTTTTTTCAATATTTAAAAAATTTCTTAATTTTATTTTTTAGGGTATATATTTTTTTATTATAAATATTTATTTATTTTTTTTCAATATGCATTTTATATTTTTTTAAAATATTAAAAAATATTTAAGGGAGTTGTATTTTTTAATTTTAAACATATAATTTTTATTTTAAATATTTTTTATTATTTTTATTTTAAATATTTTATTTTATCTTTTTAACTTTAATTTTATTTTTTTACTTTTTAAAAATATTTAATTTTTTAACAATTTTAAAAAATTTTGAATCGTTCATATATATCTAAATCATAACAACTTATTTGGCCAATATTTAAAAAAAAATATATCAAAATATTTTTTTGAAAAAAATAAAAATAATAAAAAATATTTTTCTTCAAATATAAAAATAAACAAAATATGTTTTGAAATTTATTATTTTTTTCAAAAAAATATAAAATAAAAAATAATTTTAAAGAACAAAATAAAAAAAATTGAATTTTTTTTCTTAAATAGAGTTTTAAAAAAAGTCTAGTTATAAGTTTTGAAAAGAATTTTTTAGTTAAATTTTAAATTGTGTATTATAAATTTTGATAACAATTTTTAAATTAAATTTTAAATTATGTATTTGATGATAAATTTTGAAAAAAAATAAAATAAAATAATCTAAAACTAAACCAAACACTACTTTATGTTTTAAAACTTTTATTCTTTCATGTTCTTCTTAAAAGTCAATGTGAGGCGAGACTGTTGTGTATTCTCTTTCGAGTTTTTTTTAAATCCAAATATCATGTGAAGGTGATAGACAAGAGCCGCTAGAGTGAGCTCAAGTTTGACGAGTTAAAAAAAAATTAAAAAATTAAAAAATTATTATTATTTATTAAAATTCAAAAATTACGACTCTTAATTTTTTCCTACACATTAATTTATACAATTTTTTAATACATATTTTTTCATAAAAAATTAAAAAATTAACCCAAACATCCATATTTTTTTTCTCATTTTTTTAATCCAAAAAGACAAAAAATACACTTTCTTAAGATACCCCAAACAACCCCTTAATTTTTGTTTCGTCCCCATAATATGTGATTTTTGTTAAATGTATTTGGACAAACATTCATACAATGCAAATGTGCTACTATTGGCTGCTTTACACTTCATCAACAGTCATTTAAGTTCACTAGTATTGGTCTGCTTTCATCAAATGACACTTTCAAACTCAAGAAAATCAGACCCAAAATTGGAGGGAAAAAAAGGTCCTATAAGCAACAGTTAAGGGTCATTGTTGGGTCCGAAACTTGCAGCCCGGTCCAGACCTGTCGGTCTTTTACCTGGCCCAAGCCATTATCTCAGGTGGGTGGGCGGGCTTAGGTATTGAAGTCTGGACATTTGGCTCGTGAGAGGCAGACCACAAAGAAATGAAAAAAAAAAAGAACAGTATACTGCACAAGCAAAAGTGCAAAAATATGCATCAAATTGACATAAAGTGATGAGGAGGACTACAATAAGCTATCCATTTGATACAATCCACATTGTTTGTGTTCAATTCGAGTCACATATGTTCAAGCATTAATCATCTGTCAATCAACACAAGATGAACAACAAACGGCAAACTTTTTTCTTTCAAGGATTTAGGTATCCCAATGGTACTATTTAAACAGAAAACATTGACAAAGAGACCTGAACACAAAAACCAAAATTGGTGTCATTTCTGCTTGATCACCCAGCCAGCTCCTAACAGTGATTCATGGTAGTACAGCAGCTTACAACTCCATGACCTCAATTGCCATCACGCCTTTATATGATAAAACTTTAGCTCCATCATTCATTGCTCTATAAACGGTCTAGCCAACCAAGAATACTTTCTTGAGAACCAAACTGCAAATCCTGCAAAAGTAATGAGAATTTAACACATGTTATTAACTTAATGAAATAAATAATTTGATAGACGAGTGCCAGGATAAGGAGCATACTGCAAGCTGGAAATCTGGTGGGGTATCAAGTTCTAGGTTCTCAAGATCAGCAATTCCACAAGTTACATTTCTATCTACCCCAGAATTATTATCATTTGTCGGGCGAGAAGAGGTACTGAAAGGACTGTCATTTAGTCCAGAATCAGCAAGAGCAGCATAGGAATCGAAAATCTCATTGCATAACAATAAGTCATCCAAACCATTGCCATCAATAGCTTGTGACTCGCCTGCCAAACAAGTGTGGGTCTCCATATCATTCTTGAACTGAGTAGAGAAAGAAGGATGGAATGTTTCTCTGGCAAACTCAGCTTCCTGTTCCATATTAAAAATGAAAAAGATTACAAAACTACAGATGCTATGCTAACAACGGAAAAAGACAGCGAAACATTTGGAGTAATTTTTGGCAGAACCATAGATAGGTTTATTTGTTCATCCTAACATTATATTCAGTAAGATCCATACAAATTTGAAAAAAGGTCCTCGTTCTCTTGTCACCATAGATGCAAGAGCATTTATCTTTCTTGCTTCCGTTTTGGGTACTGAATCCATTTTAAACTTATTTTCTACAAGATGCATGTCTAAAATACAAATGATGGATGTCTACAATACACAAGTAATGCATTTCAACACAAACATAATGTGTTAAGGGGAGGTCCATAGTGAATGGAAAGTGAAGAAAGCGATAAGGTCGGCCTCCCTCTAATCTTACATAGGTATTCAAACAAGTTTCAAACATGGGCACATAAATGTCAAGTGCCTATTTTTTATAGGGAAAACCAGAAAGTATACTGCATTTATAGATAGTGGCAAACGTGAGGTCTGTGTCAAGTTTATCCCTCTAGCATCCTTCAATGTTGAGAACAAAACCAGGCAATGGTAATTTAGAAAGGTTACAGTGTGTAATTGGGAACACTGGGGCTTGCCATACGAAAATCTACTAGTGAAACAATTAGGTTCCCTTAAACACTAACATGCAATGAAAGCTGCCACTAACCTGTGCTAATGATTGGGGTGGAAGCACATAATCATCTGTGACATCATCACACAAAACATATTTTCCTGGCCGAGGTGGATTGGGAGTATTTGTCTTTGGAGTCCGGGGACTAGTTCGAATCATCCCCATATCAGAATCTTCGATAACTTGAGAGCTATCATTGTTGTCGCTTTGCTTTTGCTGCTGATATGAAATTTTTGAAACAACATATTGTCCTTCTAGTTCATCTTCATCGGTCCCCAGATGATATTGGTGCATTACCCAGTTAGATTTATCAGGTTTCGAACCCTTCTTTGAAATTCTATAGAGAACCATAATCTTCTTAAAACCCTTTTGCACTCCATTTTCCATCACGAGCTTGGTCTTGCCTGTCTTGTGCCAGCGGACATCCTCCTTTGTCAAACTATCTTGATTGTGAATCTTGCGGCGTTTACGTTGACCAGTAGCATATGCATTAGTGGTTCTATGAAAGAAGTGGACACTGCTTCCATCTTTTTTTGCACCTAAAACAAAACCAAGTGATGATTCAAAAAATGGTTTGATGAACCGAGCTGTTCATGAACAGCTCGGCTCGGTTCATTTAATAAACGAGCTGAGCTTGAGCTCACATAAGCTCAACTCGTCAAGCTTGGCTCGTTAATCTTTATTTAAATTATATAATATAGTATAAATACATTATTTATATAAATATGTATAAATAATAGTATAAATACATTATTTATATATTAAATAAAATATAAATATGTATAAATAATAGTATAAATACATTATTTATATATTAAATAATATAAATAATATTTTTTATTTAAATAATATTAAAAAAAATTATCGAGCCGAGCTCAAGTTTCATTAATATTAACAAGCCGAGCCGAGCCGAGCTCGAGCCCAATTCTTTATCAAGCCGAGTTCGACTTCAATAAACGAGCTCGATAAGTAAACGAGCCGAGCTCGAGCTCAAAAAAGCTCGGCTAGGTTCAGTTCGGTTCATTTGCATTCCAAATTAGAATGGTTCAACTAAAATTAAGTTATAAATTTTTAGTATGTTAATTTTGTGCAAAGATGCAACTTTTCTCATATTGAGAAAGACCACAAAGCAAATCTTTCCATTACACACTCACTACAAAAGGACATCCATTAGCATAGAGAACTCATCACATGATTAATTTTTTTGTGTGTTTAACATTTGAGAGGGGGGTTTTCCCATCTCCCACTTATGCACCAAGGATGCTCAAATCTCTGGTCTTCCAATTTTTCAATATCAAAGACTCTTTTAATTTTTTTTATAAGATAATGTAGTAGCGACTTTAGGAAGATTAGGTAGGTCATGACGAAGACTATGCAGTCTTTGTTGCATATGCTAAAGTTGAATTTGTTGTAACTTATACTGATACTTATGTCAATTTACCATCACTTGAACACTTATCCAGCCAAGGTGTAGCAAGAATAGCATATAATCTGAGAATATAGAATTCATTACCAGGAAGATTTTCTGGATGTGTATAGCATATTCCTTCTTCTTTGTCAACTGTTAGGATGAAATCATCAATAAACATATGTGGCTTTGAATTTCCTACCCCGCATTTTGCAGCTAAATGTTCCAAAAGCTCTATATCGGATGGATCAAACTTTACACCAGCAGGCAATCCAGGCCATTCATGAGACACCTATACAAGCAAAAGCATCATGAATGACAATCAAGCATAAGTTTCTAATCATAAAGTATATCCAAGATAAATTCTAACAGTATTTAAAGGATGATAAGTAATTACTATTTTGTGTTATAGTATCATGTTAAGTACAAAATAATAATAGTAACTGGCCTGCAGATATTTTAGTGTTCTCAAGTTTGCTGAATATACAGATGAAATTAAGTAGAAAATATGTAACTACATGCAAGAATTCCAGCTTACATCACTATTATCAATGCGATAATGGCATTTTGGGCATTCACGATTTGCTCCACAGTCTTTGAGTTGATATGCAGGAGATAGACTGGCACTTTTCACTTTTGTCGCAATTCCTTTGCAGTCAATAAGCCAACTCCTGCATTATTAACAATTAACAGCCAGGAGACAAAATTTTGTGTTTAATTTATGATTAATTAGCTAAAGAATTAAAATTAATTATGAAAACACCTTCAATCTAGAGAGAAATAGTTTTTGAAAGCTAGCAATTAGTTGGTTGCATTGTAAACACCATAATATTTTGTCTGACAGAAAACAAATCACATTGCAGCATTAAGCGAAGAAGGTTAGATGGATAGAACTCAATCAAACTCCTCTGTCACCAACTTAGTTGAGCAACTCATTGACATTGATCATAATACAAATCACCAAAGTAGATGAGAAAACTTGGGATGAATTGTAGTCAAACCATGTACTAAAAAGTATGATCCACACAAAGATGACACAGAAATTCAGGCGAAGTAAGTTCTGATTCTGTCTAAACTATGCACACTAAACATCTTACATTGCAACTAAAGAACACTTGGCTGTTTCTGCGAAATTAAAGAAAGTTCTTGGACCTCTTTCCACCTATCCAATAAGACAACCAAAGGTATTTTAAGATTTGATCAATGCTGTTCCAAAGTCAAGCCACTAGTTACCCAATCAAACCAAGACGATTATGATCTGCAATCATGGCCATCCCCAATGAAAAGGCAATGGGAGGCTTCAAGAGCCAACTCAAACAACTATCAGTAGTATAGAACCCACTTCCAATATCCATTCATCACTGAAAGATTCAATCTTCATTATATGGTGGAATATTCAGATTCAGAATTAGGGCTTGTAACGTCCTAGAATAGTGTGGCTCACAAATGACATTAACCAAGCAATGTTGAAGCAGCAACCTAACTACAATCATGAGCTCATAAATCCAAAAACATGCTTTAAAGAACTCAAAATCTTCATATCTCTATACCAGCATTTCCCCGTGTGGTATTTTCCATAAAAACCAGAACACCAATAAAAGGTTCATGGTCAGTCCTCCCTAGTTTCCCGAGAACCAAACGCAAGAAAGAAAATTTGGAAATATATATATATATATATATATGCAGTAAAATAAGCAAAATAAATAATTTAACACAAACTCAGATGAGAAATGAAATGCCGAATTGGGAATCTCAATCGTCTAATTGACAGATGGTCTCAAATAAACACGAAACAATCAATCACCAACCAGGTATTTGCCCATATGGGTCTCTCAATCAAACCGAAAACAAAGCCAAAACAGCTCAAAAATCAAAATTTGATAAAATGCGCCGAACCCACATAAAAAATTTTTAAAAAAACAATAGAAAAAGAAGAAGCTTTTATATTTACCTTGCCATGTCCTACAGATGCGAGTGTCGATACAGAGATACAAATCACAGAACACATACAGTCCTAGAAGACGAAGAAGAAGAGAAGCCGGGTTGTGTTTGCCTGGCACTTTCCCCTTTGTCCAAATGACTAAGTTATTAAGAGAGAGAGAGAGAGAGAGAGGGGAGAGTGTGTTGAGCGGGAAAACTTAGGTGTGGAGCCGTTATGAGAGGGTTGTAGGCCGAGCCTGAGCCTCGGACGGGCATCTTGGTTCACCGAGGGGCCGAACCTCAGGTGTGGTGGCCCACCATTGACTGAACTTAGTTCCGAGTCTCAGGTTCGGACGAGGACCGAGGCTTTGTGGATTAAGCACTAGAGGGTAAAGGGTGATTATTAAGTGCTGCTTCGAAAATCGAGTTTCGATGGCAAAATGGTAAATAGGTATGGACATGACTTTGCCTTCCGCCCCAAGCTATTTATTTTTTGATATTTTATAAAAAGTATGTATAAAAATATTTATATGATTGGAGAAAATAAAAATATATGTTAACATAAAAAATACCAAATAATATCTAAAAATGACCCTTTTTCCTCTGCTTTTCGTTAACGCTTCCTTAATTTATTTTTTTATTAATAAAAAAGTACACAACCTTTTCAACTTGCTGTTTTTATTTTTAAAAAGTACACAACCTTTCCTTAATTTATTTATTTATTTATTATTTTTTTTTATTTTTTTTACCCATACATTCTGTCTGCTAGGTCGTCAAGATCTGCTGCTAAGAGTTGGTCGTAAAAGTCATCCCCATCTCCCATGGGTGGTTCATCGTTCCATTCTTGATCATTCTCTCCCATCACTGGTGATTCATGAGAGACTCCATGTTGGTAGTTCGGGTACTGACTTTCATCGACAAATGTCTCTTTGCTGAATGGATATCCGGGGATGGCTAAATTACAATGTATCTTCTGATATCTATCTTCACAGACTAGATGTCCATAATTTCCATTATAGGCTAAGAGAGAGTTGCTAGCAAATTTTCTCCATTTATTGAGCTGGTCTTTGAGTGAAAATCTTCTGCATGGCCAGGGTCTCCTATTGAGAAGTCCTGGGTATCCCGGAAATGTAGAGGTTCCTCTAAGGTACATTTTGTGTTTAGCTGGATTGCACCATATTCCCTTCCACTCTGGTAGTTTGCTATCTATCAAAGCTTCCACATACGGATGATGTTCTTCCATTATGCACAGTACTGCATGAGCAAGCTTGTGTCCAAAGTTATCTGTCTGATCTGGATCTGTGAAAATTAGTCTAGAGACAAAGCCGTAATCTAACAATTTTGGAGCTGTTAGATAACGAATTTCGCCCCTGATTTCTATCTCCAGCGGCTCGAATGTAGCTAAATTTATCTAGCAAAGGCAAATGCTGAAGTCTAGGTTACACTGACATCTACCAAAATGTTCTGACCTCTTATTGCATTTTTCTTCGTCTAAGAAGGGTTGCTCTTCATCTTCATAGGTATAGGTCCATTGGTAAGCTAGGCCGGGGCAGTCAACCCTTGCTATGGAGAGATCTTGAAGAAACTGCTGAATAATGACTAACTCGTCGTTTCTGCTATCTCCAGCTAAGGTATAAATATAGGGTTTTAGGTCTTCCATTACTTGGCTTTTCTCACAAAAAGATCGAATGATAGAATGCCTGAAGAAATACATTCTAGCACTCAATTGGTCAAATTCCTCACTGGTGAGTTGCCTGATTTCTGGGCTAGGTAAGGAGGTAGGTATTCTTTCTGGAGCTAATTTTTTAAGCTAGTTAGTTAGGGTTCGAACGGTTGCTCTCAATTGTTTTTCTTCGTCTCGGAGCTGGTCTAGCTCGTCACTGACTTTCTTGCCTTTATCCATAATTTTCTTGAAATTTCTGGAAAGGCCTTCACAATGTCTGCACATTTGGAGAGGATTCTGGGAATCTGTCTGAGGATTAGAACTACTGCTGCTTGTACTACTGCTTCCACTTGTCTGGCTAACTGGAACGCCACTGGTAGCAAAGATGGTAGATCTCATCTTGCTCAATGTGTCCAGGTAATCTTTAGCTATCTGGCTAATAAAGTAACTGGTTCCTATTTGTCTTCGGGCATAGGTACTGGCTGACTCAAAATCATAAAATCCTTTAAACTGAGGTGTAGGAAAATTTTTGACTAAAGGTTCTACTTCTATCCAATCATGGTAAATACCAGGCCTCCATGAATGGGAAGAGAAAATCCCCCAAAGTTCATGGTCTTGCTGTTCTCCCATGGGTGGTTCATCGTTCCATTCTTGATCATTCTCTCCCAGCACTGGTGATTCATGAGAGACTCCATGTTGGTAGTTCGGGTACTGACTTTCATCGACAAATGTCTCTTTGCTGAATGGATATCCTGGGATGGCTAAATTACAATGTATCTTCTGATATCTATCTTCACAGACTAGATGTCCATAATTTCCATTATAGGCTAAGAGAGAATTGCTAGCAAATTTTCTCCATTTATTGAGCTGGTCTTTGAGTGAAAATCTTCTGCATGGCCAGGGTCTCCTATTAAGAAGTCCTGGGTATCTTGGAAATGTAGAGGTTCCTCTGAGGTACATTTTGTGTTTAGCTGGATTGCACCATATTCCCTTTCACTCTGGTAGTTTGCTATTTATCAAAGCTTCCACATACGGATGATGTTCTTCCATTACGCACAGTACTGCATGAGCAAGCTTGTGTCCAAAGTTATCTGTCTGATCAGGATCTGTGAAAATTAGTCTTGAGACAAAGCCGTAATCTAACAATTTTGGAGCTATTAGATAACGAGTTTCGCCCCTAATTTCTATCTCCAGCGGCTCGAATGTAGCTAAATTTATCTAGCAAAGGCAAATGCTGAAGTCTAGGTTACACTGACATCTACCAAAATGTTCTGACCTCTTATTACATTTTTCTTCGTCTAAGTAGGGTTGCTCTTCATCTTCATAGGTATAGGTCCATTGGTAAGCTAGGCCGAGGCAGTCAACCCTTGCTATGGAGAGATCTTGAAGAAACTGCTGAATAATGACTAACTCGTTGTTTCTGCTATCTCCGGCTAAGGTATAAATATAGGGTTTTAGGTCTTCCATTACTTGGCTTTTCTCACAAAGGGATCGAATGATAGAATGCCTGAAGAAATACATTCTAGCACTCAATTGGTCAAATTCCTCACTGGTGAGTTGTTTGATTTCTGGGCTAGGTAAGGAGGTAGGTATTCTTTCTGGAGCTAATTTTTTAAGCTGGTTGGTTAAGGTTCTAATGGTTGCTCTCAATTGTTTTTCTTCGTCTCGGAGCTGGTCTAGCTCTTCACTGACCTTCTTGCCTTTATCCATAATTTTCTTGAAATTTCTGGAAAGGCCTTCACAATGTCTGCACATTTGGAGAGGATTCTGGGAATCTACCTGAGGATTAGAACTACTGCTGCTTGTACTACTGCTTCCACTTGTCTGGCTAACTGGAACGCCACTGGTAGCAAAGATGGTAGATCTCATCTTGCTCAATGTGTCCAGGTAATCTTTAGCTATCTGGCTAATAAAGTAACTGGTTCCTATTTGTCTTCGGGCATAGGTACTGGCTGACTCAAAATCATAAAATCCTTTAAACTGAGGTGTGGGAAAATTTTTGACTAAAGGTTCTACTTCTATCCAATCATGGTAAATACCAGGCTTGGTTCCCTTAGCTACTACATAGAAAGAAAAACTTTTAGACAG